TGTATATTTTTTACAAAAAAATAATGCAATAATAAATATGTGTCAATCATTTCATAATAATATAATATTATTGTTTAGTAGTAGTCAGTATATTCATAGAACACTAAGTTCTATAGTTGGTATATTTAAAAAAAAAAATGGGGGGAAAACATCTTATCACATTGAAAACAGTCTGGGGAGGTAATGTTCATTTACCATTTAGGTAACAGGTAATTAATTTAACATAAAACATTCATTAGTCATTATTTAAAAAAATACTAATATTTTAATGGATGGTTAACATTGTGTAACAACTAACAAGATGTAGCCACGTTAGTACGGACAGCGGATGAACGGTCCACAATCCACAAATCACAATGTACAAAATTCTGAATTCTGATCTTCATGGATTAAACAAAGAAATTTAATTTTGTTGCCGGGGCATTTTTAGGTTAGGATTATTGCCTGTTGTTATTAAAAAGTTATTCTGTGTTATTAACTATTAAGTTGTTGTGATTTGTCTTGTAAAGACGTACTGCGATGATAAATAATTAATAAATGATAATGAAATCTATACTTTTAGATTTTTATTTTTTATAGTCATAATGTCATATAGTGAAAWATTAMAATCGAGATACGTATAAAGAGTGAAAATACTACAATTTCGTTTTTTCGTAAACCATAATAATTCTTATATTATAATTATTAATGTCGAATCTTACTACTAGTTAGGTAGGTATTTACCATTGACTCAAACGACATTAACGTTTTTTGTTTTAAAATAATGTCAATGTGTGTTTTGTTAACTTAAAACTATTTAATTTCTAGTAAACCTGTCATTCTAATTTAAAATATAAAATGAGTAGTTTCCAACACATAATACTTTTTCTGGTATGTATTATTGGTTCAACTGTATTTTCGGTTGATCGTGGTAATTTTAAAACATGCGAGCAAAGTAACTTTTGTAAACGTTGTCGCTCCATGAACAAAAACCAAAAAACCGCATTTGAACTAGTACCAGACAGCGCTATATTAACAGATAAATATTTCGAAGCGTTGATATCAAACAAAAACTATGACAATGTTTTATTACGAATGCGGCTGGATGGTCTCAAGGATAGT